ACGGCCCTCCTTAAACTTAGATGGGTTAAATATCAATGTCTGACACCATGGGTCTGCAAAGGGGGCGGCTAGATTCCCGGGTCTCACTTTTAGCTTTCTGATTCAGAGGGGAGTGGGCAACAGGATCACATTCTACTGTCATTAAACTGTCACACAAGGATGTCCTTAGCACCATGTTCAGCACTGACGCATTTTCAAAACAAAATTCTGAAACTCTAGGAAGGGGTTGCAGTCCGTGTGCCAGGAAGCTCCCATCTGAGATACCTGTGGGTGGAGGAGGCCTCTACCTTCCTGGGAGACTCTAGGTGTGCAGAAAGCAGCAGGTCTGAGATGGTGGCTGGGGGAGGGAGGTGCTTGGTAATTGATTTCCTGCAGTTCTCGGCCGCCTTTTCCAGAGAAGCATCTCAACAGGCTTGCACATCCTTCCTGGGAGCCATGCGTCTCTTCCATCAACTCAAAGCCTCCCAAAGCCCAGGGTTTGTGAGCCTTTGCCGAAAAGAAGGGAGGCAGCCAGCCGGGCAGGGCCACCACATTGAGGGCTTTTTTGAACTAAATGATGTAGACACGGAGCCAGGTGTGGACCTGGGGTCAGCTTGACTGGCTGTGAACAGCCAGATCCCCACTCTGCTCTGGCTCTTGGTGTCCAGAGAGAGGGTCCTGAGACACAAGTGTCCAAGGAGGGGCTTTCGGGTTCTGCTTCTCTTTCCCTATCAGGGTCATTGTTTTTCCTTTGGTGAGTTGTCAGCGGACCTCACTTCCTTGATGCTGGTCCTTATTCAACCTGCTTCTGGCATTGACAATCACCCCAGCACCTAGCATCAGCACCCATCACCAACTTTCCGTATTTATCAGCAGCTGCTTCAGTGACGTGGAAATAGTTCCCTCAACCACTGGACAAACATGAAGCTTGTGAGTAGGACATGGCGTTCTTCGTGGAAGAGCCACATCGGGTTGAGCAGGAAGGAGCAGACGGGCCAGTGCCAGGCTTTTGCTGCCCCCTGTCAGTTTCCATAGCCTGAGGCCTGGCTCCGTCAAGTCCACGGCTTTGCCCAGAGAACAGTGGGTTGTTGCTATGGAATATACCAGAACCCTCAGCCTATCCGAGACTGAAGGGAGCTTGGCCCTTGCCTCTCTTTCCTGCTCATTCATGGTCACTGGCTGGATTCAGGCACCTGGATGACCTGTTCCATCTGGGGGAGAGACACAGGGCAGGGCATGGTGGTCTCAATGGTTTAGACCGGAGGCTCCCAGACTGCAAGGCATTATGGGCCAAACAATTGTGAAGGCTGACTGGCAGCACATGTGCATAGTCCTGACTGCGTCTCAGCCCTCACCGCAGCTCTGTCGTTCCCATGTTGTATCTTAACCTCTTTCATGGCTCTGTGACAGGTGGGCCTTAGGGTGGCAGGAAAGAGGAAGGAAGGAAGGAAGGAGGGAGGGAGGGAGGGGGGAGGGAGGGAGGCAGGCATGGCTCACCTGTACCGGGCCTGTGCTGCGCAGAGGACCCTGAGGTGCAGCGCAGGAAGTATCTATATCAGAAGCTCACATCCTGGAACCGGGGTTCCAGGATGGCCAGGAGCCTGAGTCTCCCCAGCTCTCCAGCCTTCCTCAGTTACCAATCTTCTTAGTCCTCCTGCTTTCTGCCATAAACCATGGGCAACTCTGATGGCCTCGCCAAGTCCATCCATCTCATTTGTAGAAATAAAAAGCCATCTTTGTTTAAAAAAAAAAAAAAAAAAAAAAAAAAAAAAAAAATCCTTCTTCAAATGGTTGCTGCCACCTAGTGGGAATTATCAGAAATAGAGGGGAATTTCAGTTCCCAAGTTCCTGTGTCTTTGTGGGACAGAAGGAAAGGTTCAGGGAGTTCCAGGTCTCCAGGGATTGAGGGGAGGATAAATGGGTGGGGTTCTGGCGCTCGTGGAGTGTTGAAGCAATTTTGCTGTTCAGGGTGATACTATAATCCGAGATGCCATTTTAAACCTGTCCAGACAGAGATCAGCTGTGGATGCTGGGGACAGATGCCTTTGTCAGCAAGAACAGGTACCAGGCTGGTGGCTGACGATGCTGGGAGTGCCCTAGGCTAAGCAGACACACCAGGGTGGCCTCACACTCCCGCAGTTTCCCGTGAACTTAACGCATCTCTAAAAACAGTATATTCCCTTTTAAGATGGGGGGGCTATAGAGTGTGGGGGTATGTAGTGTGCCAGTGCGTGTGTGTGTGCATGTGTGTGCGCGTGTATGTGTGTGTAGCGTCTGTGTGTGAGTGTGTATGCATGTGTGTTTATAGTGTGTGTATGCATGTGTGTGTATATGTATATGTGTGTATAGCATCTGTGTGTATGTGTTTGCGTGTGTGTATGTGTGTGTATAGTGTGTGTATATATAGCGTGTGTGTGTTGTAGAGTGTGTGTGTATAGCGTGTGTGTATGTGTGTGTATAGCGTGTGTGTCTGCGTGTATGTGTGTGTATAGTGTGTGTATGTGTATGTATGTATATAGCATCTGTGTGTGTGTTTGTGTATAGCATGTGTGTGTGTGTGTGTGTGTGTGTGTAGACATAAACACCAGAAGTCAATGCCATGTGTCTTCTTGTAGAGCTCTCAAATCCACTTTCTGAGACCACATCTCTCACTGAGCCAGGAGCTCACGGTTGGTGGCAGGCAAATTCCTGGAATCTGTGTCTTTCCCTGTCCCTCTAGCCAGAGTTATGGATGGACACCGCCCACACTGGGCTTTGCCTGGGTGCTGAGGTTTGGACCTCATGCTAGCATGGCAGGCATCTCGCTGACTGAGCCACCCCCCCCAACTCCTGCTGCTTTTAAAACTGTTCATTTGTCTTAATCTCCACACTGTGCTCCTACCAATTATTGCACATTTGGTAAAATACTTCTTATTTTAGGACCACCTTGTACACGGTTTAGAATGGCCTGTACTTTAACAAGTCCTTATCCACAGCCAGAGAGATGGCTCAGGGTGTAAAAGCTCTTAATGCTCCTACAAAGGACCCAGGTGTGATTCCCAGAGCCCGTACCAGGCAGCTTCCTACCTCCTGTAGCTCCGGGCTCAGGGGACCCGATGCTCTTTGTCCTCCACATGTACCCACACATGTGTGGTACACGAAACCTCAGCTAGGTGCACAAATATACAGAAGTAAATAAATCTTTAAAGAAGGAAACTTGAATCCGAATATTTAGAACTTACATTTTAACTTCATGGATTTGATTTTTCACATTCAGGTGGTTAAGAAAATCAAACAACACAGATCGTGAGAGCAGACAAGTGGAGCCTTCCTCCACAGGGGCCAGGCAGTTTCTTAAGAATTCATGGTTTTCTCCAGAAGCGGTCTATTCTGGGAGAGGGACACATACTGCACGCACCAGGGTTCTTTTTTAAGTACATTTAGTTAGAGAACACATGCGTGGCAGGGCAGGGGGCTTTTGCAAATGTATTTGTATCGTAAAATTTTAGACATGAATTGTTGAGTCCAAACCGTCTGGTCAAGAGGCCCAGAAACACCTGTGGTCAAAGAAGCAGGAGAAATTAAGTTGCTGAAGCGGGGGGGGGGGGGGGGACCCCCCAGGGAACTGGAGCCATGTCTGGGTGGACTCAGGGAGTGTGCTCAGGGTTGAGGCTTGTGCTGGCTGGGTCACTCTGGGGAGACAGGTTGGTGATCCTGGTCAGCGGGGAGAGAGGAAGCTAGTCTACAAGTGCCCTTTCCAAAAAAAAAAAAAAAAAAAAAAAAGGCAATCACAGGTGTGGCCACAAGAGGGAGCTGTCTGGCCATCTGTTCTGTCTTATTTTGAAGGAGGCCACTGAGTGGCTTTGCCTGGACAGTGTTTTTCCCCATTAGTCTTGTTTGTTAGGACACAGTGTCCAACCAACTGTGACATTTGCTGTTATTTTCTCAGACTCTTGGATTGTGAGCGTTTGTAGATGTTGATGTTGTATCCCAAATAACTCTTCCGTTAACACATATGTATTCCACTTCCCTGACACCATGGAGCGTGAAATAATCTACATGGCCGCAGCAACTCTAGTAACAGCAAATATTATTAAAGGGCCCTTTTGATGGGTGCAGGGCCAGACCAGCTAACCCAATGCTCACACTCTGACATATTGTGATGGTCGATATTGAGTGACAACTCAGCAGAATCTAGACTCCCCAAGGAGACAGACCTCTGGGTACAACTGTGAGGGATGGTCTAGAACGGGTTGAGTAAAGTAGGAAGAGGTCCACCCTATTCCACAAGAAGGGAGACACCTAGCTCCACACCAGCATTCTGTCTGCTCCCAGGCTGCAGTACCATGTGACCAGCTGCCATGGCCCCCTGCCAATGCCGCCATGGGCAATGTTGTCAAGATAAAGCCTTCCTTCTCAAGTTGCATTTGCCAGGGTTTTCTTGTTTTTGTTGTTCTTGTTGTTGCTGTTTTGTTTTGTTTGTTACCGCAATGAGAAAGGTAACTCACACATGCACCTCTCCGGAATCTGCCAAGGACAGTGAAGGCTAAGGAATTCAGTCATTTCACTGATACTCGGAGGGATGGTTTAGGTACCTAAGGAAGTAGAATCCCATTACATAGATGAGGTTGATGGTCAGTGCTCCCAGAATCGCACGCGGTGGTGAGCAGGGCTCCCAGCACACACGTGTGAGCTGATTCACATGTGTCCTCAATTAAATGAGTGCTTCCTTGATGTTCCAGCCAAGACGCTATAATTAAATGGCCTCTAGGCCAGCAGGACCCCAAAGGGTACCCAACTCCTGAGGAGCTAAGAGGTGAAGGACACCCTTCTGAGGAGGTCCAATAAGGTTTGAGCAGCTGCCTTGCCACGTGAGGACAGGTCCTGGGGGATTTACTGGAGAAGATTTTGTACGGAGAAACGAAACGGAACATAGTGACTGGGAGATCGGGCCGCACCACACGTGGGTGGGGTGGTAAGATTGCTCTCCGTGGATTTTGCAAGGGGAATGGCGGTAACTGTGGGCTGCTGTTCTTTTCCAGACTGTGCTGGCTGCGGAAGGGACATTAAGAACGGGCAGGCACTGCTGGCACTAGACAAGCAGTGGCATTTGGGCTGCTTCAAGTGCAAATCCTGCGGGAAGGTCCTCACCGGCGAGTACATCAGCAAGTAAGCCTGGGCTGGAGGGCGGGGGGGGGGGGGTTGGCTCTGGGTACAGGGCTCACCTTTCCTCCAGCATGCAGAAGTGCATCCCCATTTTGCATCAGTAGGGACTTTTGTTACAAAATTTGTCGAAAATAACTTCATTATTCTGCTTCTGCCACGCTGCAGCCGCTGTAAGCTTAATGGACTATTAATTGTGTCCCAATTTAATAATTAGCAGAGCTAGCATAGTGGCATACCCTGCCTTGTACTCAATTAAGCTCCTAGCCATTTCTCCTTTGCTATTTTTGTTTTCTGTGTGAAGCTAAGTGTTCTTCTCCAGGGCTTTAGACCCTCCCCCCCCCCGCCCCCTACCCCAGAACATGTGATCTGTGCACTTAGCCTGGCAAGACCATAGCACAGACTAGCCTGTCAGGGTGAGGGTCCACAATGGAACCAGAGAGTAGCAAATCTGTGGAGTCTGGGTGGGTTTTTTTTCAGTTGTTTGTCTTTTGTTGTTGTTTATTTTGTTTTGCTTTTTGTTTGTTTTTGATGTTGCTTTTAATGATAGAGGAATCTGCTACTGTCTTTTTATGCTTTTTGAAAGTTTCCCCAAGCAGGGGGTGAGCATATAGCTGGGTAGGAGAACTTAGGCCCCAGAGAGTACAGGGCCTGGTCTGGGTCTCCAACAAGGACAGGGATGGAGTTCACTGGGTAGAATGCTTGCCTACCTAGCGTGCACAGTGCCCTGGGTTTGATCTAGCACTGTGTGGACCTGGGCGTGGCTGTAAAAGCTATAACCACAGAAACTCTGACAACCTTGGCTTCTTAGAGAGCTGGAGGTCAGCCTGACTGCACCTGACCCTGCCTCAAAGGTCAAAAAACGAGAAACACGAAGAAGCCTAGCCAGTTCTGTTAAATCACTACATTCAAATGTAGTTAATGAATTTAATTTTATAAATCCATGAAACAATTTAAAAGGCATCTTGGCTCCCCTGGCCCAAAAAAATATAGTTTCAAAGTAGGTCTGGGGTCGAACTAAACACCCAGGTATGTGACCAATGATCTCTAGAGATGCTTGTGACTGACAGCCAAAACCAGAGAAGTGTTTGGCTTTTAAATGACATTAAAGAGTGTCGTATTAAGTTCAGTGGCCCCTCAGATTGCTGAGCTGAGGAGATGCTGTTTGAAGGCTGTGGGGCCCTGCTGGGCCCGGGAATCTGACAAGATGGTGTGGAGAGGGGGAAAGGAGCCCTGGGCCTCGGGCACCTGTGGACGGTGAACTCCCAGGTCTACTCTGAGGGTTATCTATCTGGGTTACCCAGAGGGGGCAATACTGAGGTTTCTGCTCCTTAGTTCTGTGGTAGCCAAGAAAGTGGCCATGGTAACCATGTGGTAGCTTATTGGGTTTTCAGTCTCTGGCCTGGAGAACTGCCATTTGCTCTCTGGCCTGTGGCTTTGTCTGGTCAGGTTGCGGGCCTGTGTGAAGATGAATTACGTTCTTGTTCTGTGGGAGAGGCCTCGGAGCTGCTGCCGCTTTGGCTCTCTTCCGTGGCCTGAGTGCGGCTCTGTGTTTCAGGGATGGCTCCCCGTACTGTGAAAAGGACTACCAGGGCCTCTTTGGGGTGAAGTGTGAAGTCTGCCACCAGTTCATCACAGGAAAAGTCCTGGAGGTAAGTGACACAGGGCTCCCTCAGGCTGCTGCCATTCCCCTCGCAGGCCTCCAAGCCTCTTGTCTCCTCCTGAGCAGGCCTCCAAGCCTCTTGTCTCCTCCTGAGGAGGAAGGCCGGAGGCCACAGGTGACTGTCCTCGGGCTTCCGTGAGCTATGCTCCCTCACTACCAAGCGCCAAGGGGGACGTGGAATGGCGGAGAATTCAAAGGGAAAATGATAGACTTCACTGAGAGTTAGACATGTTTTTTTTCTTATAAGAAGAGGGCGCCAGACCCTCCGTTTACACCTGGGCTTGGACGTGTGTGTTTGCCTGTGCAGCCCCCCCCCCAGAAGCTCAGACCTGAGAGGGAAGGGGAGGTGCAAGGTGCTGACTTCCCCACCCTTAGAAATCCACATCTGCTGTGACTGGGAGAGCCCTGTGCCCGAGTCAGTGTCAGGCGTGACCGCTTCCAGCCAGAGCCTTGCAGGAATCTGCCAGCCAGCACTGCCTCGGGATCTAGCTAACTCCTCTTGGTTCAGAGAGGCTGCAGCAAGGAATTCTGGGATCAAAGGTCACAGGCCTATTAGTCAAGCTGGAGGGGAAAGTAACAGTTCACACACACACACACACACACACACACACACACACACACACACACACACGTCTGACTGGGGTGGAGAATGTGTGCAGAGCAGGCAGAACAGGAAGCTAGCGGCTGTCACCTGCTGATCTACCAGCCCATCATGGTTCCTTCAGGTGCTGACGCTGTAAAGCCAGCAGGGTGCATTTTAGGGAACAGGGGTGTTTATCCTGTGAGTCCTGAAGGTGTTTCTGGGCCAGTCCAGGGGATATCACAACCAAGGTTACGAACCACCTCTCCAAGTGCCTCGAGAAGCTCTCTCGAGACACAGAGAGGTCACCATGGGCTCTGTGCTGTGGTCAGGAGAAGTTGCCTAGTGGTCTGAGGAAGAAAGCTCTAAGAGAAGAGGACGGCATGCAGGGACTCGTTGGCAGGGACACAGCACACAGGAATAGAAAGTGGGCATGCTGTGAACATAGCCCTGGAGAAGGCAGGGTGGGGTGTGGGTCCCTCCCGGGACAAATTCAGACGTCTGGGCTTCGTCAGGAGAGTGGGAAGGAAGGCATGTAGGTAGCTGTAGCTACAGCCACAGGGATGGGGTCAGGGCGCTGTGGGAAGAATAAATGGGAACATGCAAACAGTGTGTGTACACAGTTCCTACCACACTGTTGACCGCAGCAGAGGGCCGTGGAAACAACTCGGTTATATCCCAGTAGAGGCCGGCATGAACAAAATGGGTTACTCTGTGGCCTTAGGGGAGGCAGTGATGCCTGCTGCACCACAGGCAAACCCCAAGGGAAAGAAGGCAGAAGACAGGCAGGCAGGGAGTGTTTGAGCAGACCACCCAGACATGAGCCCATCACAGAGGGCCACAACTGTGTAATAATACCTAAACCTCAGCAACAGACAGCCGCTGGGGTTTGCCAGGGGCTGGGGAGAAGTGGGTGGTGAGTTCTCCCTGGATACGGTTCCGCTGAGCGAATGCTTTGGAACTAGGTACAAGAGGTGTTTACGTGGAGTGATAATTCACTCTCTCTCGGTTGGTTTTAAGATGCTGAATTTTAGACTACATGAGTTTTGCCTTGAATCTAAAGTTTAAAGAAGCCTGGAAGGGCATGAAAATGCTGTCAGGAAGAGAGAGACAGGACGATACCCAAGTTTAAGATCGTGTGTTCCCAGGAGTAGAATCAATGGTTTTTACAGTCCCAATGTGGAAACATGTTCCCCAAAGGAGTCTGGAAGAAAAAGGACTGTGTGACTGTGTGTGTGTGTGTGTGTGTGTGTGTGTGTGTGTGTGTGTGTGTGTGTGCTCACGTTTACTTTAACAGCTGCAGGAAGGAATCTATAAAACACAGCTGCATCCCAGAACATGTCATTTTAAAGACATGCTGGTCCCTCCACGTTTTCTCTCTGGCTCAAATCATAGATGCCACAAGAGCCTCGTCCCAACTGCCTTCAGGTGTCCAGGAAGGGAAGCCTGAAGAGTTTAGGGCTGGGGATATTCCTTGCAAAGCCTCCAGCACCGGTCAGCCGGGCCGGGAAGTAGTTTGTACATTCAACTTAGATTCAGGGTCCACCCAGCAGTCTCTGTCCTCTGCCGATGGGTGTGAGACTCCGAAGAATGTCCTGCAGGGTTAGCACAAGACATGTGACTGCCAGTGACTCAGCTGGGCTTGGTGGCCAAGAGAGAGCAGGACCAGCCTCATTCCGTGGCACTGCTGACAAACCATTCTAAGGGTGGGTTGGTCTTGGATACTATAGACTTTTCTTTACACTTTAAATTTGTTTTATCCTCTGTGTGGACTGCAACAGTAGTGACTTAAGACAATTTATTCTCTCTGTTTTAGAGTCTAGACATTTATAACAATGTATCCTCCCAAATCGTCATCTCCAGCCTCTAGCGCTCCTGGCATACCTCGGCTTGTGTCCCCACCCTCCAGGCTCACCACCTTCCCTGCCTTTTCACTTCTCTCTGCCAGCCACCCTCCTGCCTTTCTCCTAGAAGGGCCTTTATCATTTCACCGAAGGCCGTGCCCATCACTCAAATAGCCCTCCTCAAGACCTCAATTACATCTCTAAAGAACTTTCCAAATAAGTTAACACTCCCAGCTCTAAAGACTCCCTGTGGAGGTATCATTTGTTCATCCTGTTCTAGAAAAACAAGTATTACTGTGGAAAGGCCATCTCATTGGAGGGAAGCTGAGGCCCCTGCATGGGGTTCCCCTAAAGGAACCTTACCATGCCTGGGGTTCCCCAAGTCCGGCTGTCCCGGTACAGCTGTGTCTCTGGTTCTCCAGGGCTGTCTTCCTCTCTCAGACGCAGAGCAGCATCCACCCTCACCTCCATCTTTGATTTTTGTTGTTGTTGTTTGTTTTGGGACAGGGTCTCACATATCCCAGGCTAACCTCAAACTCACTATGAAGCTGAGCGCGACCTTTGACCGGTTGTTAGTCCACTTCCATCTCCTGAATGCTGGGATTACAGGACTGTGTCAGCAAGCCTGGGGGATGTGGTTCTGGGGATGCCAGACCCGTACTGTACCAGCTGAGCTGCAGCTCAGCCTCCTCCCCCCACAGTCATAACCTCACACCCGTCTTCAGCCTGAGGGGAGGGTGGTTTAATGAGAATTAAACCTAGGAATCCACTCTTGGCTCTGGAACTCACCCTCTGGCGCAGCTTGGACAAGCTTCTCAACATCCTTAGCCTCATCTCTCCTTTAATTAATAAGGATCATTAAAAGTATGTTCATAAATCCAAGACTCCCCAGATCCCTGTGCTTCCCAGAGTGTGAGTTCTGCAAGGGGTCCAGAGCCTGTGGCTCAATTTTGTCTGGAAATGCCATCTGGAGAATGGCCTGTCATGCCCAGGCACATACCTTATGCCATGCCTATCTTTATTGTCATTTACTTCCTGTTACTTTTCAACAGTGGCATTGTCCTTGGGTGCAATCTTGTTGTAAATGGTGTCTGTAAAGTGTTTGTTTGCAAGGCCTGTGAGATGGTTCAGTGGGCAAAGGTGCCTGTTGCTGAGGGCCGAGTTAGATCTATGTGACCCACATAGGGGAAGGAGAGATTTCCTCACGAATGCCCCCCCACGCGAAAAATAATGCAAATGCAGCAGTTTCCTTACAGTACTTACTAACTGACCTATACATCCAAGGGACATTCTGAGGATGGGAGGCCGCCTCTTTGTTGAGAAGTTCAGGAGCAAATTAGAGTGAATTATTAGGGCTTGTGGATCGCCTCCGACCTCCAGTCCCTTCTCTGAACTCTGCTTGGAATCAACCTTGCCTATTTATCCTCCCAATTTCCCTGCCCACGCCCACCCCAGCCCCTACTCTGGAAGCTACAAGGTGGGCATGGGACTTCCCTTTGCTGCAAATCACCCAGGTCATTGGTGGATACCTCCCAGAGATCCCTTTTCCAGACGCTGACCTTCATCTTCATCACGAAGGAGCCAGCACATGTAGACAAGGTCCCCTCCCGCACCGCTGTAGGCTCCCTAACCTTTCTTCTCTCTAATCCCATCACCCCAGGGAGACTCCGTCTTTCTGCTCACTCTCCAGGTCCACTTAAAACAGACAGCCCAGCCTTTGGTCCCTCTGCTTGTGTTCCTTCCCTAAAGAGACGCCTGCAGGCTGCTATCTCCGGGGACATTCTTCTGTCCCTTGTGGAAGGAGCCAGGCAGAAGCTGTGTCCTGATTCTCACCACAGGGGTGGGAAACACTTTCTGCTGTCCTTGCTCGGGTCACACGGGCTCCCCTTTCCTGGTCCTCCTATCAGCCCACACCTGCTGGCTGAAGCTGGTCTTTCTAGACTGTGTGGTGAAGCCTGTTTTCTCGGGGCTCTGTTGGGGACTAAGTGCTGGTGTCTGTAGAAGCTACTGAAGAACTTGGCCCTAGTGAGGAGATTCCACCTGAGCCCCTGCCTCTCCATGTAACCCTATGGGGCCCAGTCCTGTCTTGCATGGGTTAATCTGGATGGGATCTGGGCCTGCTTTTAAGCCCCCCCACCCCCCCTCTACTCCTGGCACGTGGGAAATGAAGTCCTAACAGGATTCGGTCAAATCCTCTCCCTGGATTCTCCAAAGGATTAAAAAGCCAGTGGTTTTGTCTTACCTGGCCCTTTAGCTGATTAAAAACTGCTTTTCCATAAAGGAGTGCGAGCAAATGTTTAAATCACATTAGAGACCTGTCCCATCCTTGCTGGTGTGGGTATTTTGGGCGGGTTTTGATCATACCATGAGTTGGTCTTTCTTGTTTTGGACTAGCCTGTCACCTGGGGACGGGGGAGGAGAGCAGCACAGGTTGTCCTGTGGCATTTACACAACAGGCCTGGTTGTCACCTCGGAAGACAGCTTTTCAGAAAACAGTGGGGCCAGGGGCAGGGGCGAGGGCCAGGGCAGGGGCGAGAGGCAGCGCTTTGCTGGAAGCAAATGGAA